TTTTTTTTTTTTATCCAGTGAAATAAATTTGGAAACAGCTTAGGCAGATGCCTGTCTTAATTCACTGGGATATAAGAAGGAAGGGAAGGATAGCACAATCATTCTTGCAAGATTCTGCTATCATAGCCAATCTCGATAAAAGTAATTTTAGCCTTCATGTGGAATTGATTTTTCTAGTCTGCCTAGTGGTGTTCACATGGTTATCTTGTGGCAACTTTCAAGAGGTAAACTTTTATTTTTAATCAGCTTCCATGAATTATAGTCTACTATGTAGATTATGTAAGTATATGGATAAAATATTCATGGTGTGTGACTGAAGTTTGTATAACACATTTAACATAATTAATGCCTCATCGTGCACTTCTAAGTGGCTGTTGAATAAGATTTCTGTATATGTAATTACCATATGAGGAAAGGGTTGGTGGTTTTTTTTTGTTTTCTGCCACTTTTTATTGAAATGCTAAGATGCATTTTGGTTCTCTCTCATTAAATTAAATTAAATTAAAACTCATATTTATGTTAAATTTTACTGTTGTTTTTCTAATGTCATCTTTATTTCTATTATTTTAATTAGTATTAATTGTATGACATATTTGTTACTGCTTGAATATCATTTGGAAGTTATTGAATTATTTTTCATTGAAATTACAGCATTGGAATGATAAAACTACTGTTGATTAGCAGCCATGAAATGTTGATATTTATTTTCTATTAATGTTTGTATCTAGTTCTTTTTTGACAATGGAACAAGAAAACCTTTTTACTTCAGTCAACAAGCCTCTTGATAGATTAGGCACTGAACTGTATCAACTATGGCAGTCCTCCAACAGCATCAGTCCCAACAGGCAGACCAGACATTAAGCTTCAGCAGTTAGCCAAAAGCTTGTGTTCCAGTTGTGACAATCTTCAGCAGTTAGCAACCCATCAAGGGTCAGAATTGTCTCAGGGGCCAAGGAAGCATTCAAGCCCTTCAGGCCATAGCAATGTTATATGAGTCAGTTTTCTTGCTGTCTTTCACCAGAATAGAAGCAGTAAAACTGAGGAGTAGCAGATGTAACAGTATGTAAAAGGAATGGTTTGTACCCCAGTATAACAGAGAAGACAGAGGAAAAGTCTAACGTAATGGTAGTCCAAGACTGAGGTAACGGAACAGGCTCTGACTAAGTCCAGTCTACTGAGAGAGCATGGAAACTTCAGCCCTATCTCTCCATGAGCAAAGTAGTCTCTAGCACTGAGTTGTACAGAATATTAAATCAGCTCATTATAGGACAAGCAGGACCAGATGGAAAGCAGTGATCTTTACTTTTAGAAGTTCATTGAGCAAAACTTACCTTTCTCTCTGGACAAGAAGATTTGAGATTGCCCTTGAGTGCTCCATATAGTTGCTTCATTGGAGGAGACCACAAGACAATGGCCTTTGACAGATTTAGAGCTCTGAGAGACAAGGGAACAGTCATCTAGCTGAAACATCGGTCAGCACCTATAAAAGGATATTGGATTCATATACTTCCTTTTCTAATCAGTTTTGGTTGTTAATTGCTTCTAAGCTACTAGGAACCTTTGGATCAACAGGGTTTTTATAGCATCGGGTGAGATTATTTTATTTATTAAATTTATATACTTCTTATCTCACAGTTGAACAACTTGACTGTCAAGTTTCCTTTAATCCTAAGGAAAATAGTTTTAAATACAAGTTTAAGGACATATAAATTTATTTTATAGTAAATAGGGCAGAATAGTAAAGATAAATAGTAACATTAATAGTAAAAGGGTGTTTAAAAGTTTGATTTTGGAGTGTTACAAATGTGCAGATGATTTAAAGTAATATTTTGGAATTAATCATAAAAATCCTTCCCATAGAAAAATGATTTTGTTTTGAATTTTCTTTAAAAAGGATAGGAGGAAACTTTGAAGATTGGACCATAGAGGGAACTAGAAGGAACTAAAGATTACAATTAAAGGAAATAAACATTTAATTTTTTTTATATTGGATTTACAAAAAAGGCTTGTTAAAACTTTGAAGAATTTTGTGAGGAGGGACAAAAATATGAAAAGAAATCGTTCTAGGACATTACTTGAAGGGATTAAAGATCAAGATTGTTAAATGAAAAAGAATATAAACTTGGTCTGTTTGATCAAAGTCAAAATAGATATGTTTTTATCTCTGGTAACCCTTAATGGGATTTTGCTGAACAGGACTGAAACAGCAAAGCTTTAAGAATTTTTCAAATAATAACAAATAAAAATATTAAAATTAATTCATAGGTAATAACAATAAAATTTTTAAGTACATTTATTTTCAAATAATTCTCGTATACGTATTACTAAACACAAGTGATGACAGAAAGGATGGCTGCTGTCCTGATGCACAGTTACGCTTCTTTCAGGATTCATTTCATTCCTTGGAGTACTAATTGTACATTTGCTGGGGCAAAAGCCCAATGTCTTTGCTGACCAAAGAAATATCACTGCAAATAAATGAGCATTAAACAATCTCTGATTTGAAAGTGTCAACTGTGCAAAGGCATCATGCGAAGGCTAATGCTGCTAAACCCAGTGGATTTGATCCCAGATATATCATCTTTGACTTCCTTGATTGTTTTAAGAATTGGTTTCCAAATAGTGAAAAGCAAACTACCTGATATCATATCTAGTATCAAAACAAGGAGCAATTATTTCTCCTGCCCAAGTGAATAGCTTCTAGGCCTCTATATAAAATGGGCAGAAGAAAATTCAGTTCAGCAAAATAAACAGAACTGGTATTTGCTGCACTGTAGTTGCTATAATTCTTTCATAATGGCTTTTTAACATGTCTGCCAGAAATCTGCAAGAACTTATATTCTTGTCATATATTTGTTTGAATCTAGCTTTCTAATACAAAAGCCTGAAAAATATAAAGATTCCTCATTATTCAGCACAATGAAAGCTGAGATTCCTGAGCATGTGATATTCTTTCACTCCCTGTCATTTCTGTTCTCTTGTGCCTGTTTGGGTATGTTTTCACATGAGCATGTTGAAAGATGTAAAAGTAGGCTCAAGTAAACAGATGAGAGAGAAATGTCAAAGACCTAGTCCAGTTGCCATGGTTCTACCATGATTGTTGGCTATACTTTTAGCAGAGCTGTCTTCATTTTACCATTTTTCCCCCCAGAAATGACTGTTCAGGTCAAATTCAAGTTTCTTAATCACCAACAATTTGGTCAAAGATGTTCTGGGGACATTAGCCTGCTGTAATATTTTCATTATCTGTCTGTCTGTATGAAATATGTAATGAAAATTAACACTGAAATAATTCTTTAAAAGTACATTAATTTTGATACAATATTCACTTTACTAATGTTAATCTTACTTTAAAGAATTAATGGAAGTTAATGACCATTGTTAAATTTCACTGAAATTATATCAATACGTTTGGGTCTACTTAACTCAGTGTTTTGTGATAAACTTCTGAAGAGAAGTGAATCCAAGAATTTTATAGAATATATAGAAATTGTAAATTCTAATCTCCTACAGTAATATATAGAAAGAATGGCATTTACAGATTTATTCCAAATAGTAGTATATTTTATAGAATATAAACAATATTGTTGTGTTTCAACAAGTTTAATTATATAATTGCTAAGGATAGCTAGCCAAGATATTACTGGCAAATAAGAGCAATTTATATTTAAGTCAAATGCCACCATGCATCTTTATCACCTTCTAACAAGAGAAGTCAAGAATAAAATTAAAGAATAAAGTAGATAAGGACAAGCCTTGTCAGATTTCACAATGTAATTTGAAGGGTTGAGAGTCAAATCCATTGATGATAGATAAATAGCCACATGATGAAGATATCAGATTATAATCTAGTGAACAAAAGATGAGAGAAATCCATCATTAATTCAATCGGCCTCATATCAGAATATTGTAAGACATTATCTATTTTTTTGTAAATTCAGAGGGAGATGGGTCTATTTTGAATGGTATAACTTTCCATAGTCACGTAACTAATGTTAATATTTTGCCCATCCACTTCTTATAAGATGGTTCACTTCTGTAGTACAGAAACTACAGTCAAAGGAGAATGTTATGAAGCTGGAAATTGTTCCACATGTTCTATTTTAAAAAGTTTTTAAAAGTATTTAATGTATTTGATTTTTTTAATTTTTTTTTCTGTAGTTGAACCAACTGTGAGCTTAACAAACGGACCAAATCCATTAATAGATGGTGCCAATCAGACAGTTGCAGCCATTTGTACTGCAGCTACTGGAAAACCAGCTGCAGAGGTTGTCTGGGAAGGTGGTCTTGGTGAAATGGAATCCACTTCAACTTCATATCCAAATGAAACAGTCACAGTGGAGAGCCAGTACAAGCTTATTCCTACCCGCTTTGCTAGAGGAAGACGTATAGCTTGTATCGTGAGACACCCAGCCTTAGAAAAGGAGATAAGAATGCTTTATGTGCTTGATATTCAATGTAAGTAATAATATATTGGTGGGCATATCTTTTGTTTCAGTATGCACACCTATATTTTTGGGACAGACTTGGACATGGGTCATGTTTTACAAGTGGGTGTGAGAAAAACATTCCTATTTTTTCTTAGTTTAGGGTAATATAACACACATGCACACACAAACTCCAATCTGTTCTTTTATACATTTCATGGATCAGAATGATGATGACCATTCTTCTGATTTTCAACAATTGTAGTTCAGAGAGGGCTTCAAGCACTGTAAAATGGAGGTTTGTATTTTAGGGCCTCACTTGCCCAACCCTGCTTGTCACTTTTCTTTCTGTAAAATTATTTCAAGTTATGAATGTTAGCATAATCTTACATGAAATCAGCTTCAAATGGATCTGAAAGATATTGAAGCATCATCATCATCATTACTATTATTATTATTATTATTATTATTATTATTATTATTATTATTATTATTATTATTATTATTATTATTATTATTATTTGATGCTTTTTAATCACTCTTGACACCTGACAACTGCCTGCACAAGTTCCTGCAGTTTTCTTGCCAAGATTTTGGAAGTGATTTGCTACTGCCTACTTCCTAGGGCTAAGAGAGAATAACTGGCTCAAAGTCACTGAGCTGGCTTTGTACCTAAGTAACCCAGTAATCACTACACCAAACTGGGTCTTTAAAACATAAACATTAAATTATATAAAAATTGAGCTAACTAACTTTTTTAATATGTATTTTATTATGGGCATGTAAATACGGTAATAATAGCGGCTATGACTAATTTGCCATTCTTTCATTTGGAATTGTCTGCTTTGATGTTCTTAAACATGTTTAATGTGCTTTTGAGTATATATTTTGTTTTACGCCTTATGAATTAATTTGCAAATCAACATACAACTGTGCTTTTAATTCCCTAATTATCCAGATTTTGAGATGCAATATACAGGCCAAACATACTAAAATCTTAAAAGTGTTCAGTTAATGAAATTGATTCAGAATGTTTACTTAGATAAGTTAAATTGTGTTTGAAAGTAACAATATGGAACATATATTATGAATGAACACATAAAACTGTTTAGCATATACTGAAGATAATTTGTCTACGACAATTATTTCTGCTGATATTGGATCTTGCATTGTAAAAATTGAATCTAAATAAGTTATCAATCAATTTCTTATTTTCATTTATAGAGAAAAAAATCAGACTAATTTTGAGTTTGTTTCTAATATATCCATAAAACACAACACAATAAAAAAAAATCACTACCTGGTCCTTTTATCATAGGTGTTGATAAAAACATGATCAACTTTATCAGACTTGCTATGAAAAAAAAATCTACTTTTAATTCTATTATCACATTTTAAAAATTATGAATTGTTAAGAACCAACTTACATGTTTTTATCTTAAAAGTATTGATATAGGTAGTTTGATTTAAGGAGTTAAGAGATAAAAGATTATTTGGTAGCCTTTGAAATTATAAAATGAAGTGTTCTTCATTAAAGTTGCCTTTGTCTTTATATTTTACTCTGGACTTATTTTAAGTATTTCCATAATGGCTTATGCAAATGCTTATAATTATGTATGTTTGTAGATTCTCCTGAGGTTACAGTAACTGGATATGATGGAAACTGGTATATTGGAAGAGAGAATATTTTGCTCAGGTGTAATGCTGATGCAAATCCACTACCAATGGAGTTTACATGGAGTCGGTAAGTCATTCTCAAAATAAATTAAATTTAGCTAAATTAGATCAACTTATAATAGTTTATAATACTATATCATATCAATATATATTGTACAGGTAATCCTCAACTTACAGTTCATTTAGTGACTGTTCGAAGTTACAACATCACTGAAAAAAAGTGAGTTACAACTATTTTTCAACTGTTGCAGCATCCCCGTGGTCATGTGATCAAAATTTGGATGCTTGGCAACTGGTTCATATTTATGATGGTTGCAGTGTCCTGGGATCATGTGATCATCTTTTGTGATCTTCTGACAAGCAAAGTCAATGGGGAAACCAGATTCACAACAACTGTATTATTAACAACTGCAGTAATTCACTTAACAAGTTGTGAAATAGAGCAAAATTCACTTAACAGCTGTCTCACTTAACAACATAAATTTTAGGCTCAATTGTGGTCATAAGTTGAGGAATACCTGTATTTGTAATTTATTATATATTGTGCGCAAATACAGCAAAATATTTTGAATCTTCCAAAAATACTTAATTGGAAATAAAACTGTAGATTAAAAGGCTTTCTATTTCTGAGCCAGCAAATCAAACATGACAAATAGCAGTGTTGAAATGCTGCACTAATTTTCAACAAAGTTGACATAATTACATTTCCTATATACTAAATCAGAGGTCCCCAACCTTTTGGGCACTAGGAACCAGTTCCATGGAGAGAGGTTTTTCCATTGACCGGAGGGTGCGCAGTTTTGTGTGCTGCCTGCATCCTACAGATGAGACTTTGCTTGTTTGTGCCAACCAGTTGCTGGCATGCCGCGGCCCGGTACTGGTCCACAGACTGGGGGTTGGGGACCCCTGAACTAAATAACCTAAGTACATGTATAATTTGAATAATTTATTTTTAAAAAGTTAAAATAACTAAGTGTACTGTAAACACTGTTTTAAAACAAGCATAAAGTTGAATCTTCCTAATTGATTATGTAAATTAATTTATTTTATATCCACCCTGTGTTACCTGCAAGGCACCAGAAACTACTTTGAGATTAGGCCAAAGTAGTTTCTTTATTTTTGATCTCCTATTTACAAGAATCTTGCCAGACTAACTGCATTTTCTTGTGAACAGGCAGATAAAGGCTTCAATAGTCTGGACTCTGCCACTTCCTCCCACAGAGCAACTCCAAGCTAGGCTGCCTCTTTACTCTTCTCTCTACTGTAGTTGGTGATTCCACCACATTCTGATTCCACTAGTTTGACTTATAGAACAAATAAAAATAAAATATTATGTATTACCGTATTTTCCGGCGTATAAGACGACTGGGTGTATAAGACGACCCCCAACTTTTCCAGTTAAAATATAGAGTTTGAGCGAGAGAGAGGGGGAGAGAAAACTTGATGAGTAATATGCCAAACCACATGTGTAAAGGAATAAAATAGAATACCCGTATTTTCCGGCGTATAAGACGACTGGGCGTATAAGACGACCCCTGACTTTTGAGAAGATTTTCAGGGTTTAAAAAGTCATCTTATACGCCGAAAAATACGGTATATTTTTATTGTTGTAGCTCATGCTTTATAGAAAAATGTTGATGATTCATATACATTCATATAAGGATTTCAAAACAGTATTCTTAGGAAATCTGGGTAACTATATACACATATGTGAACCATATATATAGATCTAAAATTTCCATGTCACATTTAGTAGTTTGAATATAGCAACTTCTAAAACCTATGTTTTCTGGCAACATCAGTACTAAAACCTGCTTTGAATTTTCTGGTTGCCATTTTCAAAATAATGACCGTGGCACTTTGGAACATTCAAATGGTGGCTTTTAGCTTGTTATCAGTTAGCCAAAGCAGCTCCATAGGTCCATTCAAACCTGGCTTAAGCATCTTTGTATATATTATGTTCTATATACAGAAACTAGCCAGGGAATAGATCTATCTATCTATCTATCTATCTATCTATCTATCTATCTATCTATCTATCTATCTATCTATCCATCCTCATCTCATATCTATCTATCTATCTATCATCTATCTATCTATCTATCTATCTGAAAAATTAAGAACTATAAAAGCAGAATTAATTAAGAAACAAAAATAATAGATGGAGGAAAGTTAATTAATATCAGAGCCACCTCACAAGTTTGCCTATCCCCTGGAGTCACCAGTTTTGCTGCATAACAGGTCTTGAGGGAGATTCTGTAATGTGGGCACCACAACAGAAAAGGCCTGCCATTGAGGGCCTACATTGGTAACACATTGCGAGCAGAGCTCCTGGGTCAAGGAATGGGTGCAACTGGCACAGAATTGTGCAAAAGCCCATCTAACCATGACTGCCCCTTGCTCTATGTCAGATTTCTATGAAAGACTTGCTAGCATGGTTTCTTCTTTTTTCAATATTTGTTATATATTTTCCTATCATTTAGATAATATATGTATATGCATATACATGCATACCAATATATGCTAAGGAACAGATTTCAGAATATGAATGCTGTAAATAACTAACTATAAAGATGCTTCTTAAAATATGTAAAATATGTAGATTCCATTAACAAGATTTTATACATTATGTTTTTGTATAATTTTTGGTGTTCTCTTTGGGGTACCCATCATATACTCTAGATAACACTTCTGGAAGTGATTAGACATCTTTGTGAATAGCACTTGGTTGTCTTGTATTATTTCATGACAAACTAATGATTCTGTTGAATTCTTTTGTTAATAACATAATATTCAATGGTTACAATAATTGGTTTCATGAAAGTGAATGTATTTCTGTTCTGGAAAATGAGAACAATCAATATTCCAAATGAAATATTTGCAAAATGCTCATATTGCTCTAAATATTTTACAATTCAGGCTGGATGGACATTGGCCTGAGGGATTACAGCCTTCCAACAATACTTTACATTTCAACAGTCCTTTGTCTTACAATTATACTGGAACTTACATTTGTAAAGTGACCAATTNTGTGTTAGGGTGCTGAGAGCCAACGCCTCGTCAATCTTCAAACGCTTCGCCCTCGTTAAGACTGGATTACCAGCAGGAGGGGGCGTGACAAGTTTTGGATACTTGGTCTCAAGAGCAGGCAGACAAAGAAAACCCATTGGTGGAGTCTCCGTCTCCGTACTGAGAAAAGGCGTTCAGGTAAGACCAACGCCCCTTCTCTCTGCTGTAGTTGGTGATTCCACCACATTCTGATTCCACTAGTTTGACTTAATAGAACAAATAAAAATAAAATATTATGTATTACCGTATTTTACGGCATATAAGACGACTGGGTGTATAAGACGACCCCCAACTTTTCCAGTTAAAATATAGAGTTTGCGCGAGAGAGAGGGGGAGAGAAAACTTGATGAGTAATATGCCAAACCACATGTGTAAAGGAATAAAATAGAATACCCGTATTTTCCGGCGTATAAGACGACTGGGCGTATAAGACGACCCCCGACTTTTGAGAAGATTTTCAGGGTTTAGAAAGTCATCTTATACGCCGAAAAATACAGTATATTTTTATTGTTGTAGCTAAATGCTTTATAGAAAAATGTTGATGATTCATATAAGGATTTCAAAACAGTATTCTTAGGAAATCTGGGTAACTATATACACATATGTGAACCATATATAGATCTAAAATTTCCATGTCACATTTAGTAGTTTGAATATATAAACCCCAGCAACTTCTAAAACCTATGTTTTCTGGCAACATCAGTACTAAAACCTGCTTTGAATTTTCTGGTTGCCATTTTCAAAATAATGACCGTGGCACTTTGGAACATTCAAATGGTGGCTTTTAGCTTGTTATCAGTTAGCCAAAGCAGCTCCATAGGTCCATTCAAACCTGGCTTAAGCATCTTTGTATATATTATGTTCTATATACAGAAACTAGCCAGGGAATAGATCGATCTATCTATTTATCTATCTATGTATCTATCTATCTATCTATCTATCTATCTATCTATCTATCCATCCTCATCTCATATCTATCTATCATCTATCTATCTATCTGAAAAATTAAGAACTATAAAAGCAGAATTAATTAAGAAACAAAAATAATAGATGGAGGAAAGTTAATTAATATCAGAGCCACCTCACAAGTTTGCCTATCCCCTGGAGTCACCAGCTTTGCTGCATAACAGGTCTTGAGGGAGATTCTGTAATGTGGGCACCACAACAGAAAAGGCCTGCCATTGAGGGCCCACATTGGTAACACATTGCGAGCAGAGCTCCTGGGTCAAGGAATGGGTACAACTGGCACAGAATTGTGCAAAAGCCCATTTAACCATGACTGCCCCTTGCTCTATGTCAGATTTCTATGAAAGACTTGCTAGCATGGTTTCTTCTTTTTTCAATATTTGTTATATATTTTCCTATCATTTAGATAATATATGTATATGCATATACTACATGCATACCAATATATGCTAAGGAACAGATTTCAGAATATGAATGCTGTAAATAACTAACTATAAAGATGCTTCTTAAAATATGTAAAATATGTAGATTCCATTAACAAGATTTTATACATTATGTTTTTGTATAATTTTTGGTGTTCTCTTTGGGGTACCCATCATATACTCTAGATAACACTTCTGGAAGTGATTAGACATCTTTGTGAATAGCACTTGCTTGTCTTGTATTATTTCATGACAAACTAATGATTCTGTTGAATTCTTTTGTTAGTAACCTAATATTCAATGGTTACAATAATTGGTTTCATGAAAGTGAATATATTTCTGTTCTGGAAAATGAGAACAATCAATATTCCAAATGAAATATTTGCAAAATGCTCATATTGCTCTAAATATTTTACAATTCAGGCTGGATGGACATTGGCCTGAGGGATTACAGCCTTCCAACAATACTTTACATTTCAACAGTCCTTTGTCTTACAATTATACTGGAACTTACATTTGTAAAGTGACCAATTCACTTGGTCAAAAAAGTGATCAAAAGACTATTTACATATTAGGTAAGTTTTTCCCCTCCCCTTTGGTTATTTTCCCCCCTTTTTACATTTTATTTTTTTCTTAAATGTTCTATCAGTATTGTCTAATATAGTTGATTTTTAAAAACATTTTTCAAGATATGGATCCTACTCCATAATTTACTTATCTGCCTAAGATCTGGGTTTTTTCACCTAGCCCTTCCTGTTGAAAGGCAAAACAAATTTCTGTTCAGATCTTTTATTTTAAATATGTTTAATGTTTTGTCCCATATTTTATGTTTGATATTCTTCACTATACTGCAATTATTTTTTTGTTTATTTAAAATGTTTTGTAGGAAGTAGCAGATAATGCAAGTAAACAAATAAATGATACATTGTATCAAAGATAATTATTTACATTTTTATATATTGGCCTAAAAAACAAAACTACCAAATTATTTATACATTAAATTAAATGCCAGGAACTCTGTTCTACTTGCATGATTTCTGATTTACTTCAACAAAAAATGTGATAAAAAGATATGTATATCTCTACACAACATTGACGGTTTAATTATCGTTACAGTACCGGTACAAGAAGCAGATCGTAAATGGTGTATATACTCTGAATAGAAAGCTAGTGTAGCATAAGGTTACTTGAAATATGAAATGAGAAAGATTAGTACCAAGAGTTCATTCTGTCTTTACTTCAGTTGCTAACAAGCCAGTCTATTTCACTTTCAGCTCCACTACTTAAGTAAATATAGGGATAATTGGGTGTGGAAAATGAGCATGAACATGAAATGAGTCATTTCAAATATTATGGAAGCATTTCAGGTTCAAACTAATTTATTCTATGCTCAAAACAATATTTGAATGGCCTTTTACACTAAAAAGAGGACTTTCAACTTCCAAGCATGCAGAATTTTTCACATATAAAAATAAAATATTTTACATATTTGAAGGGATATACAGTTCATCTGTTTTACTGAGTTGTAAAAATATGACATGATACTATATGCAAAATATTTTGAACCTGTGCTAAATCTTCAAGTTAATAATTTATTTTAGATTCCAGACAAGTAAGATATATGTCTCATGAAAACAGCATGGTCCTTTTCCACCAATTTTCCGCCTATCTAGAAAGTTAAGTGACTTTGTGCATGAGCTGAAAGTTAGACGAAGAAAAATTATGTGCTGAATTTTCATCCATAAAGTCTGGATATAATGTAATGTATTGTTCAATAATATCCTTTAAAAATCTTAAACTGTATTAACATTTTTTTCTACTAGTTCTTCCTGTTTGCTCAGATCAGCATCTATCTTGTCTATTCTATTCCCCAGTGAGATATAAACAAAACATGAGACTAGAGAAAGAATTATAGACTATTTCAAAATGCAAATAAAATAGTAAGAGTGGGTGAGCTTCCCTGGGTTTTATATGTCACCAGACTGAAATAATTTAACATCATTTTCCATTAAATCAAAAAAGAGATCCATTACTGCTAAGCCAGACCTAAAAATATCATGTAGTAAATGATGCCGTCAAAAACATAATTGGGCTCTAGTCCCACTTTTTGCATAGTAACAATAAGGAATCAAAGAAATCTTTCCCTGTTGCTCTTTTAACAGCATCCCCTCTGCTGGGATGATGAAAATAAGGCTTTCACATCTGTAACCCAAAAAAAAATGTTGAAAGCCAGAAGCATCCCTTAATGCATGATAAAATGATTGAATCAACTTCCATGCGTGGTAATTTAGGTATTTAAAATATAGAGATAATACATTAGTGACACAAGAGCAGAAAGGATCAATTGAGAAAATGATTCTGTGATATTAGCTACAAAGTCAGCAAGCATTCTTTCATAAAGAAGTGGGAAATAAAAATAATGCAAGGCTACTTTTTCTTTACCTTAAAAAAAGCTACAATACATGATTTTAAATTTAGAAAATGATGGCTTATTTACAGTGAGTGGGAAGGGATTCCCCCCCCCCCTTTTACCTCTCCATATTAAGTTGAAGCTAGGTTCCCTTAATGACATTTCATTATTAATAATAATAATAATGATAAAGTTGGAAGGGACCTCGGAGGTCATCTAGTCCAACCTCCTGCTCAGGCAGGAAACCCTATACCATTTCGGACAAATGGCTGTCCAGTTTCTTCTTAAAAACTTCCAGTGGTTCTGATTATAATGGCTGTGTTCTGCTTCTTGAATCAAAGGCAATGTACCTTTGACCTAATCGAGTAGATCTATTCTTGTGACCTGTTAACTACTTAATTTTTATATGATCTTTTTGTCTTGTCTGTTGGCTGCTGCTTTTGTATTGTACACTTCAATGTCCTTCTGAATCTCTCTTGGAAATTTATTTGGAGGGAAGGATAAATATCTTCATAGGTAATTCCTGAAATGTTAAAAGAAATAATTGTTTAACTGTAAGTTTTTTTTAAAATTAGAGTTAAGATTTCTATTAATGTTTTTAGTTAAATTTATAACACATATTCTTACAGATCTATAATAAAATCAAATGTTTCAATTTAATTGAAATTTAACTGTTTGCAGCACAAATCTTTTTTAAAACATTGAGCAGAACACTTCTACTCAAATAAATTGTGTGAAATTATTTCAATATTATTTTAAAAGTGTTTTTTTTCCAGTTCCTGATGTGTTAATTATTTAATAATTATGGCAACTTGAATATGAATTATAAATCAAATAAGTTTTTTAAAAAATCATAATATTTATGGGAATAATGAAATGTTACATATAAAAAGTGAACATGATTTTTTTTCTAGTACACTGGTTATGCTAAACTTTAATGGGAAATGGTCCCAGATTAGAATCTCATTTATTTATTATTTCAATTTGGGTGGCAGTTATAAAATTCTGACTGGATATGTTGCCCATTGTTAGATAGTTAATATTAAGTTCAGTGTATAATAATAGTATATTAAATACATTAAATATATTAAATAATGGAAATATTCACTGTTTCAGCTATGAAACAGCATTTTAATTCCCACCATATTCTTTGCATTTCCAATCTGCTCTAGTAAGTTAGAGGATTCCCTGTAATAGACCTGTATTCTCAGAATGGACAAGGAGATAATAATGGGAAATTCAATTGTTTAAGTATGTCTGTTTGCATAATGATGAGGAACCCTACATAGGTTAGATAATCTCTCGAAGAAAGATTTTGAAAAGGAGTATTTGTATGCTGTCCCCATTTATTTATTTATTTTATTGAAATTTGCATGCCGCCCATTTGTCTACCAAGCATGCATTCTTCTCTTTTTTAACCTTAGATTTAAGTATGGCAGAGATTATTTGCATAATCGTACCTCTGTTTTATGCCTATATATGAATTCCTATTCAGAACCACTTTTCATAAACACATCCTATATATTTATTAATTTGTCATATATAAGAACTGCCCATCTTCTTCACAGAAGAACTCTGGGAAATGTACAATAAAATATTAAAAGTATAACATTTAAAAGAGTATATAAAATTTAAAAGAGGCAATGGATGTTAAGAAATTATTAAAAGACAGGGGAAGGGCTTTCATGGCACCAATCAACCTCACGGTTGTGTGTGCATCTGCCATGTTTTTACGCCTTTACGGAAGGCCAGGAGAGGAGCAACAGCTGAGAAAGCGCTCTTCCTGGATCCTCACTAGTTGGAATTATTTGGCTGATGGGTCCACCACATACATTCACTGCCTGGATTGATGTAACTGAATGAAGATGGTTCATTAGATAACCTAGCCCCTGGTTTTCTAAATTGCAGTGGATATTTTTGTGGTGTTTTTAAGTAAATAACTTGTGTGCATTTTCAATAGATAAAGTGGCCTTGGCGTAACAAACTATATATCACAGTTTTATATAGTTTTAAATAGAGCTGTTTAGAGATTCTTCTATTTCACTTCCTCCCTTACTCAAGCAACTTCTCTCAGTACTTTTACTTAGAGCAGGGGTCTTCAAACTTGGCCCGTTTATGATTTGTGGACTTCAACTCCCAGAATTCCTCAGCCAGTGTGCCTGGCTGAGGAATTATGGGAGTTGAACTCCACAAGTCATAAAAGGGCCAGGTTTGAAGACCCCTGACTTAGAGGGTCACTCATAGGTGTCAGTGGAAAGGGAACAAAAGAGGAAAACATTGCTTCTTGAGCTTTGGGAATTCTGGCACATTTTTTTGGTTTTTCTCATAAATATTTTTTAAAAGTTGTAGTCCTTTCTACGTGTTAAACATCTTTGTAAATCTCTCTCTCAGTCCTGCTTGTTCCTGTTGCATCATAACAGTTCATCTTCCATTTCTTTTTTGATACACACAATATCTCTAGTCCTCACCATACAAATTCAACTCCAGAAATGTCCAGTAGCCTCCTTCCCCATTGTTTAATACTGCTGCCTTTTAAATATTTTGAACTATAAGTCAGGTGTGCCTGGATCCAGGTTTCTTAATCAGGAATGAGGTTTCACAGTATCTGTGTGATGCTGAGCCTGATTTTGACCCACGAGTTATTGTTGGGGGCAGTTTGCTGACTGTAAACCACTTAGAAAAGTTTGTAAAGCACTACGAAGCGGTATATAAGTCTTAAGTGCTATTGAAATCATTAGGATAACTTACCCTACCACATATCTAAAATAATTCTATGTAATAGATAAAGCAATTTGCAGTAAAAATGTAAAATAATTTACATATTAGTTTTTTCACTTAAGTTTCAAAGCAATAAATACCCCTCGTACATTAACAGATGTCATAGCAATTCCTATATGTAAAATATTAAAAAATATATTCTGGATAACTGATGGGAAAAAAAATAAGGGAATGGGACAAAAAAGAAAATAATCCATGAAAAAGACTTCACAAACAAGTTCTAAAGGGGCAATTTATAAATAACAAAAAGACACTCTTGAGCTCCTTAAAATGATGCTCTTCAATATCTTCATCAACGATTTGGACGAGGGGATAGATGGGGAAATCATCAAATTTGCAGATGACACCAAGCTGGCAGGAATGGCCAACACTCCAGAAGACAGGCTT